ATCACTTTTAAGCCGGGAACATACTTACCCGATGCAACGCCATGAGATACTATTTTTTTAAAATAAAGTTATTCCGGTATTTTGATAAATTTACTTCCTAACCATCATAATTACTTAATTTTCATAAAAACATATGAATTTTTAATTTCGTTTAATTTGGTTTACATTTAAATAGGAATGTTGGAATTAATATAACGATAAAATTACATATACATAGATTGAAATAAACTACAAAAATTATGAGTGTCCAGTTCTGAAGCTACTGGACGAATATGGTGTAATTTTAAGAGAAAAATCACGAAATTAATTCTCAGTTAGATTTTATGAGCAAAACCTGAGTAATGAAATGGTAGTTAAATTCATAAGGTGTTTTACTACATACTGGTAAACTGAACATTTCTCATTCAATTTTTTAAGAGGGATCGCAAATGCAGAGTCATATCAACTTATAATAATTGTATTACTTTATTAATATTTCAATAAATAATTACATTTGAAAAACAAATTAGCTCCATTTTTTCTTGTTTTTAAATTTTGATTATTAAAATATTACATTCTTTTAACCTCCCTAGGGCTCTTGTTGTTTCAGTACACAGTTTTAAAGTAAGAAGCAGTTTATGTACTCTTCAATAAAGGGTGGCAAGACTTCCAAAGTTTACCTCGTACATTCGCGCCTCTATCTTCTTCCGCATATTTGATGCAGAAACCGCCCAGTTCACCTCAATTTATGTACAGAATAAAATATAATAGAATGGCCATATCTTTCCTCAACTTTGTCCGCCATAGGACGGAAATTCCATCACCCAACTTAGAAAGGACAAAACAGTTCCATAGCGATCGATCATTTAGAAACAAAACAACTTTAAATCAAATTTGAGATTTTTTTGTTACAGAAACTTGTTCAATTATTCATTTAGAAATCGTGAGATGCGGTCTGGTGTGATGCAGGTTTCCGAAAAACATTTTCTTTATCGTGCCAAAGTTTCGATCTTTATTGAGATGATCTTCAGGGCCTGGGATTTACAAATATTGTTTACATATTACAATTACATTTTATAGCTCAAGTGGTAGAGCAGCGGCGTACCTAAGGTCGTGGGTTCAAATCCCGCTCGTGACACTGACATTTTTATCTCAACTAAAAACCTTAATTAATTGAAATGTATTAATTGGTCAAGCGGACCACTAAAGCTAGTGAAGATAGTAATTATTTCAATTTTGTTACCGAGGCTAATTTAAAATGATGAAAAAGTCGTATTTACTGTTTTCTTATCGAACGTAAAATACTCAGTCGACTAATATATTGTTACTTAGAATAAACATGCTCAAAGAATGTAAAAATTAAAGAATAGATTTTTTTTAAATTTGGACATTCATTGTCATCCCACTTATATATAAATAGGTACATACTATGTATTTTTGAGAATTTAGGTTAAACAATCGTAATTTAATATTTAAAATATGTTGTAATATATTTGTAATTATAAAACAAAGTTGAGATTCGTTTTTGTGCACTCCAAAAAATCCTGAACTTAAATTTCAGGAAAAATAATTTTTTCCTCAAATTTTTTCCCTTAATGGAGACCAATGTTTTATTTACTCAAATCAGTCTTAGTCTTAGTTTTTATTATTTGGTCAAATAGTTACAATTTACAACTTATATTCTTAATTAACAAATTAGAATAAAATCTTACTTCACTGGTTCGATTTAATTGTCCTGCATAAATAAAGCCGTATGGTATTTTTATTTAAAAATTGGTTAAGCTGTTATAAATTTATGTTTTACGACGAAAGTTCATTCAAGGCATGAAATTCTCAAAACAGTCATTTGCATCACTATTTGTACATGAATGCACTTACTTGTTTTGTAAGAAAGTTTTAAATTCGGTTCTTGGCGTAGCAACATTAAGTTGCGCCAGGCTATGTGATCCATCAAATCTGGCGGAAATAAATTCTTTTGTCGCTAATATTTAAAATAACACAGCCGAAAAGACAATTTATTTCCTACCCATCATCTTATTATGGAGTTTTATAAAATCGGGAAAGACACCATATGTTGGAGAGGGGGGTGCTCGTCTTTCTCACACAACCACCCCTCCGGTCACCGTCGCTGGAGAAAAGGAAAGAGATAAAGAATATAGAAACGAACGACGTAAATTTAAATATCAGGAAAAAACACGAATTTATTGAAGAAATGATATTGACAAGAAACAAACAACAAAAAGAAAAGGGAAATTGAAATGGAGAAACTCTCCCTGTACAAAAGAATATATTTTAAAAAATTCGTGTTCTTTAGCATGCAAACAAATATATGCACCTGCAGGTTAAAGTTAATTTAAAACGGTGATTTCATATGAAATAAATCAAATTACAATATATGTCCTAGAAAATCAAATCCGAGTTAAATATGAGTCCACCTGGGTACGACGAAATTTCCACGAGGTAAGCGATGAATCCCTGGCAAAACTGTCCTTTTTTGGCCGGATTTTAACGACTTAGACTGAAACGACTCACGGCGATACCCTGACGAGACGGTCGTGCTGGTCCTCAACCACCGTCTTCTAAGAGAACTGAAGGGGCGCACGATGAACCAAGGCTGATGACTAAACTAGGTCTCCAAAAGAATCTGCCAGCCGTTTTCGGTAGAGAAAATCCGACACCACGATCTCGTTGATGTTGATGATGATAACGACAATTGATGGATCGCTTGGTGTGAGGGATGAAAATCCCCAATCGACAAATAACAGAGAGATGACCGTCTTCAAACATGAACGATCGTGGACTGAGACGGCGGCAGTCCTTTGATCCTCCGGGGTGGTACCCCTCCCATGGTAAAATAATAACAATAGTGAGATTTTCTCCAACGCTTGTTGCAAAACACATTAAAACTAAATTATGAATCCTTCCTTCTGTTACTTCTAAGATTTTCCCAATTTAAAAAAAAATAGAATAAAAATAAAAAATATAAAAAAATGATTAAAATTAATAGGGAAGGAAAACGAAAATAATAAGGACAGCTATGGCGTTAACACCATAAAAACAATAAATGGCAGTGTACAAAAAGATAGCTTTTGCCAAAATCATTTGGTATGAATGTACTAATTGAACCGGCTGCAAGAAGCATACAAACAATAAATATATAAATAATTATTGGTTAAGCTTAAACCTGCTCTCTCAACACGGCACGCAATTACACTGAAGACAAAGCCCTGAAGATGATCTCAATAAAGATCGAAACATTGGCACGATAAAGAAAATGTTTTTCTGAAACCTACATCACACCAGACCGCATCTCACGATTTCTGAATAATTATCGATTAACGGACACTAATCACCACATTAACATTGGTAAATTTAACCTTCTTCGTAAGCTATTGACTTAATCCATAAAAATTCCAAGCCCAGCTTATAACAAAAAACGTAGTTTACATAACGAACATAAGGTAACCATAAAGACTTTTCTCAATAAATCATTTTTGATATTAAATTGTGTGTAACTTGGTATACCGTCTACGAAACTCTTTTTTCATTAATTAATCGTTTTATGTAAGGTTTTGGACGAAATGAAAAAGTTAGTGCACGAGCGGGATTCGAACCCAAGACCTTTGACTATATACGCCGCGGCTCTACCACTTGAGCTATCTTGACTTCGATACACTCGGACACCAATTTAATTTTAGCGTCGTATTTAGCCGAAGGTCGTAGGTTCGAATCCTGCTTATGACACTAACTTTTTCATTTTGACCAAAACCAATAAAAATATTAAATAATTGAAAAAACTAATTTGGTCAATCAGAACACTAAATACAATGGCTTTTATTTCATGTTTCGTACAATTTAGAGACAGATAAATTTTATTTTATTTTCCGGATGTGTAAATATTAGGAAGATTTTACAAATAATTCCATATTTAATTTGATGTAAATGTTTCGATTCATATTAAATAAAATTATCAAAAAAATCATTAACAATTTGAAGAAATAAACTAACAAAAATCGCAAGAAGGCGAATTGGAAATTTTAAGATGCAAAAAAATCAATAAAAGCCCGCCCCCCTCTCTTGGGCGAAAACGATTACTTCTCTTAGGAATTAAATTTTTCTGGAAGCTCGCAATTCATAGCCTTTACAAACATTGGACTCATAATGACATTTCCTTTCACCACATATTTAAACATGCTGTTGAGATAGCTCGTAGAACGATTTAGGAGTTAAGAGCAACACGTTTAAAGTAAAAGTAGTTAATCATACCAATTTTAACGTTCTAACATTGAAATAGTATTAAACATAGAAGAGACCTAAACTAAAACATAATGATACTAATAAGGGTAATCGAAACAAAAGCAAATTAAACAATAACAATTTTATTTCATTGATACCAAAGTCAAAAATTAATAAAATATTAAAGATAAAAGTCGTAAATAGAAGGAAATGTTAAACTTATAGATTCTCAGAGTTCTTTTACGTCTTGGTCAAGGCGTTGATGATGGCGCACATTTTACAACAAAAACCGCAGGTTGGTCCGAACGGCAAAAATTATTGCAAAAAATATCTATAGATTGGATTCAGAAAAGATAACTTTACTGCTAATTTTGAAATAGCATGTATGTGCTACGATGGGAGACGTACCTTCGATGATTTAGTTATTTGGATATTTGCACATTGAAATTTTCATTCAGTACAACATTAACTCAATTATATAGTTTAGTTATATTTTAAATAAATAAGAAATGGACATGTCATTATTAAACAATAAGTACATTGGCCATTATATTTTTCTTTACGTGTGAAAGAGGTAAGTGAAACAAAAAACATAATTATCGATACCATATTTATTTCGAGATTTGATGGAATGGGCATTCTTATAAATTTCAGATAAAACAAGTTATAAATAAAACTTTTATTTCATTGAGATCCAAAAGTCAAGTCAAAGGAAAGATTATAATACATAATAAAATAAAAGACTAGATAAAAACCGATCCAGCGATCATCTTTATAAGATAATGGATTGTAATATTTACAATTCGTCAAAATTTTAACAATTTTTAAAATTTCTTTCCAGAGTTCTTTTACATCCTGGAAAAGGCGTTGATGATGTCGCACATATTATCATCAAATCCAGTTGTTAGAAGGATGTTAATGTCATATTTCAATTGGTCGTTCAGGATACCACCCAAACTGCAGAAGGCAAATTTTGGAGCCCGTGCCTTATCTCTTCGATGATCTTGAACGTATTTCATATAATTTTCGTGATTTATGTTTACGCCGATGACGACGAAGAGATCCGTGTAGAGTGTTTCGCTGTTCTTCGGGCTGAGATAGAGTCCTATTTCTCGCGAACTTGAACATTCCTGCAAATATTATATAAATAAATATATATAGTTAATAATCAACTGGATTGGTACATGAAAATAGGAGGAAAATGAAAAACTCAACTCACCTTAGTATTGGTGCCTATATTGTTTACAAGCTCGTCTAAAGTTGTCCCACGTTGTAAATACTGATGTGAAGGCCCTTTGAAAATAAGCACCTTGGCGTTGGCTGATGCGTTTGCGAAGTACAAGGCAGTCACAGCTGCCGCCATGTCAGCTTGGACAAGTGGTGTACAGCAACAATAAGATGTTGACAGATTGTAGCAATCTACAATAACAGTAATGTTCTTCGTCGTTATTTTGACGTTTTTCTATAAAAAAAAAAGAGAAACAAGCATAATAGCCATGAATCGGAAAGAACAACAAACACAACTATGCAATGGGAAACTCTTAGATTTACTTACATGCAACGCGTTCCATACTTGTTTCTTCTGTACAAGAGTCTTGTTAGTCGTTTGGATGTTTTGCGTGGAAGCTCCATTCCCTCTATAAACAAGTAATAAAATGATAACAGTAAAGACATAATTAAGACTAATAAATATATATATGACCAATACTTACGAGACAGCTTTATCCGTGTCGGTTTTACTCTTGGAATCCTCGTACTGGTTCAGATGTTCGACGACGTCTCTGGCCTCTACGTCATTTCCGTACTTTTGGTTCATTAACTCGATTCCTCCAATCGCGTAAGCGAAAGCAGCTCCCATCGGTGGAAATGAAGAATTGACATTAGCCATTTTTATGACGTCTCTATGGTACCATCCGTAGCAGCCTGGTCTCTTGCTCACTATTTCGACCAGTTCCCAACAGTCCAGTCGTAAGTACCATTCTTGAATGAATTTAGTCACGAGTGGGCCAATTCCGATTTCCGGTAAAATTTCATAGGAGAATTTACAAAACATCAAGAATTCCTTGTCTGTTCGAAGAACGGTCAAAGCCAGCTCGAACGCTTCTTCTTTCCAACCGGATAATTTACAGCACTCGGAGACCACTAAAGGCACAATACATATGTGCGAAGCTATCTTCTCTTCCTGTACAAACTTGACCCATGCGGAGATCTTCTTCTTATCGACTTGGTTCAAAAGCTGCCTCAATGAAGTTAGGCCGGCACCCAGGAAATATCCGTACTGGAATCTGCAACCCGAAAAATATACGGTTTCCTCACTGCCGTACAGAAGGAATCTCTTCAATTTAGACTCAGCGATCGATCTAAAATTACAAAACATGTTGTTATTTATTGAAAAAAAAATATATGTACATATGCATTAAACCCCTCACTATCTGCTAGAATATGCTAGTTTGATTTTCAAGGTTCACTTTACAAAAATAGAAATTTTATTATAACAAATACGACACTTACCTTGCAGACATGTTGAATTTAACTCGGAGAAAGTGGTCTTGTAAGAAGTAGTCCAGGATGTCCACTGTATGATTGACAATCAAATGGTTAAAAATGAAAGAATATGCCCACTTTAATACCCGGCCATGAATAGAGGAAGGCGGGGCTTCCCTGCCGGTCAGGTTTCTTACCTGGCTATCCTTTCACTTGGACTGTTATAGGTATTACTAACAAAGCAACATGGCGACCAGTACAAATTCAACTCTATAATTTTGTAATATATATATCCCTGTTATTAGACTAATTTTTAAATTATTATACAATAATAATAATAATATTAATTTTGTTTGATAGGTGATTTCGTTTAATCTTGTGAAATTGGTGTACCGGTTTTTGCATTTTTTTTGCGTTGCAATTTGTATAATTTATAAATATATATGTTTGTTCAGATTAACTGTTGAAATAATTTACTCTTTCATCATTTCAGAATTTATTTTCATAAACCTTCTTTTTGTGACAATTAATTAATTATTTTCTAAGGTGCTAAATAATTCGACAATTTATTCTGTTTGTTAAATAGTTCTCTGCACAAAACAGAAGTAAGAAATCGAATTAATAGATAGTTGTTCAAATTAAAATCTGTTACCCAAAGAATTTAATAATACGCCCTATTAACTATTCCAAGATCATGGTTTCGAATGATTACTAGTGCGACTACCAGGTAACCTTAAATAAAATATAATTAATTGGAATAATTAAACGGTCAATTATGCCACTAAGGCAAATATTGATTTATTTAATGATTAAAAAGAAGTAATTACTTCACTAACTTCAACCTGTGGTCACTTCATAAGTCGCTGAGAATCGAATCCTGATTAGACGACATTTGAAAATATGGCGAAAAGATGGAAAATTTGAACGGTTGTAGATTGAGATGGAGAGTTGCGGGAGAGCAGCGGAGTATTGAGCTGAAGGTTGTGGGTTCGAATCCCGCTCCTGACACTAATTTTTCATCTAAACTAAAAACCGTAATATAATAATTAATTGGAATAATTAATGGTCAATTACGACTACTAAGGCAAATATGGATTAATATTACGCATGGTAATGTAATAATATATCGGTCGATATTATTATTAATTAGGATGAAAAAATATTATGTAAAATTTTATAAGGCCTCCCCATGTTAAAACATGTATCCCTTAAAACTATGTAATATTCTGTTAATATTTGGACAACTATCTTTAATATACGCCACGAGAAAAGTCGGAGTACTCTTGGGGAGGATGTTATATTTCGTTTGTGGAGATGTTTATGTTTTATGGTGTATTTGAGAAACTGAAAAAAAATGGACGTTAGCATTTTTGGATATTGACCGTATGAATTTTCGTATAAAACCCATAGTTAGTTATAAATCGAGAAGTTCAAATGTTGCAGGTTGAAAAATACGTTTGAAGACCAGAAAGAGAAGACTGACGATGTCCTCAGATGTTTTGTCGGTCCTTAAACTTCCTCCTTCATTATTTCATTATTATTTTTATTATTATATAATTTAATAATACCGAAGAGTACCGAGAAGCGTAAAGAGACTCTGTCGAAAGTCAGTATGTAATTTGAACAAATTAACATTATTAATTTTAATTATTTAAAAGTAGGCTTGTAATTATGGAAAACGCCAATTAGTAAAATGGTTACGAATATTAAGGGTTAGAGCGGTAAGGTTTCACAGGGCTGGATATCCGTCTTTATCGATCAAATATAGTCGCAAGAAAAACGTATTTATTGCCTACTTCTCATAAATCAAAAAAAGTTTTGTACCGTTATTATCCGACAACTTTTCACTAACTTCCGAAAAAGTCGGTGGTGAAAGTTTTTTTCTCGACATCGTTCAACACATTTCAGCTGAATAATTATTCATGACATGACACCATTGGTTTGTAATGCAAAATTATTAGTAAATTAGTATCTATAATCGCATCGTCTTGTATCACCACTATGACGTGCACGCTAAAAAATGCAAACCTTCAATCCAAAAGTAAAAGCGTATATGCGTCTGATCGTATAAAACATTGAGGATTATTGCTTCAAAACAATTAATTGCCCCGAAAAGAAACCAAGAGTAATCGCCGATCTCCTCAGGATTTAACACACCCCCATGGCACATCAAAAGGATGCAAATATATTTGTACACTTTTTTATTGCCAGACCAAGTTATTTACTCCATCAAAGTCATCACCACACAGAAAACGGAACGGACACGTCTGCAATGAAGCTGGCGTGAAAGCAAAATATGTTTGAATGAATCAAGAATTGACTAAATAATTGTATCAAGTGGCGATCAGTTCAACATGTTACATTTTCCTTATGCTTCCAGGGAGGGGTTAGGGACCTAATTTCATTTTTTCCATTTGTCTTAACGGCTAAATTGCAAGTTCAACACGTGTTCACCAATTGCAGATTTGTGTACATCAACGATAAACGAAAAAATACTACGCGGTTAGACGATAAACAATGACTACATTACCGTCCAAAATTAACATATTTTAATGCATAATAATGTGTAAAATTCCATCAATAATTTAATTTACAGTTATGACAAAATCCTTTTTTTAAAGGCCCAAAACGGAAGACTCCCCCAACCAGCTCCTGGTCGTAATCACTTTGATCTCTTGACTGTAAGTAAGGGAAAAAGAAAATTTGGCCAGGTTTTCTTTTAGCGCGTGTAAATTTAATACGGTCATGGGTTATTCAAAAAGCAAAAGAGCATTATCATTCACAAAAATTTCAATGTGACAGAAATATTGTTTAAACTCTTCCTATCTTTCCTTTTTTTTTTTAAGTTTCCGTTACATGGTTTTTTCCTTTGCAAATAGTTACAATATCATATATTTATCTTGTTTTTTGTAACTTAATCAAAACCTCATCCAACTAAAAAGACCTTTTTATACTAGAAATAAATATTAACATTTGCGTGGAAAATTAATAATTATTGTACGCAATAATTATAATTTATTAAATCCATTAGATTTCTTGGCACGATTGTTGCAATAACCTCTTTCAATTAATTAATCTTTATGTAAGGTTTGGTTGAGATAGCTTTTAGATTTCTTATAAATATGTATAGATTTACACGATTTTATACGTAGAGCAGCGGCGTATTTAGCCGAAGGTCGAGGTTCGAATCCCGCTCGTGATACTGACTTTTTATCTCAATCAGTACCTAACATAAAGATTAATTAATGTGTGGTGATTAGTGACCGTTAGTTGATAATTATTCAGAAATCGTGAGATGCGGTCTGGTGTGATGAAGGTTTCAGAAGAACATTTTCGTTATCGTGCCAACGTTTCGATCTTTATTGAGATTATCTTCAATCCAAGTCCCTGAAGATGATCTCAATAAAGATCAAAACGTTGGCACGATAAAGAAAATGTGTGGTGATTAGTGACCGTTATCGATATTTATTTAGAAATCGTGAGATGCGGTCTGGTGTGATGTAGGTTTCAGAAAAACATTTTCTTTATCGTGTCAACGTTTCGATCTTTATTGAGATCATCTTCAGGGCCTGGGATTTACAAACATTGTTTACATATAACAATTACATTTTGAATGTGGAAAAGTGAATTTATACAATGAAAAATATATTTTTTGTATATTCAATCAAAGTATTTCTACTCGCTCAAAGTGTTTGACAAGAATGGCACCATTACACAGAAGACAAACACTTTCAGTGAGTAGAAATACTTCGATTGAATATATAAAAAATATATTTTGCATTGCATAAATTCACTTTTCCATATCCAAAATGTAATTGTTATATGTAAACAATGTTTGTAAATCCCAGGCCCTGAAGATGATCTCAATAAAGATCGAAACGTTGGCACGATAAAGAAAATGTTTTTCTGAAACCTACATCACACCAGACCGCATCTCACGATTTTTGAATAATTAATTAATAACTTATTTTTTACTTTTGAAATGTTACTACACTCTGTTACTTGTATTAGGTAGATGTGTGACACTACTATATTGTTTAGTCGAGCCAACTTTTCTAATGTGTTAATTGTTTATTTAAATCTTTTTATTTGATGAAAAAATAAATTTGCGGAAAAATAATATTTATGATTTTTCTTAAAACCATGGTTTGCCCGAGCTGATGCTTTAGCCAATGGACGTAGCGTCTTTTATACAGCCCATGTCCTGGGTGTATATTGCTTTATTTTTCTTTATATTGATTTGGTTTCTCTAGGTGAGTTTTAATTTTGTCCCATATTTTGGACTAGAAAATCCAAAGAACGGCCCCTTTCTTGTCATATCGGTCCAACTTTGTAGGGGCTTCGGCGACCTAAGTTAGCGTATGGCCGTACCACCGTTTCTTCATTATTCCATAATGTCTTAATTTCTAAGTAAATAGATCACAAACTTCCAAAGAAAGATATTTTTAAGTGTAGATGGTGGAAACGCTCAGAAATAATGAAAAAAAGGTATAATTTAATCAGAAATTTTTCATGTAAACTTGGAAGATAAGCGGATAATAATCTTCCTTCAATACACGGTAAATTGCCGTTATTCCAAGTTTTTTAATAATTGATGACCAGATAGACATATATAAAAAATGTATTTTAAGGAAGGGGATAATATTATTCAACGGCAACGGAAACTATTTAACGTGAAAAAGTTGGAAGTTGAAGCGTGAGTTAAAATTACCTCCATCATATTACGTGATCCACCGCTTTCAGATTAAGTTCTTTCCAGGTTTATTTTATAATTTAAACAAAACAAGTTGGGGTCAAGTCATTTGAAGTGTATTGTGATGAAAATCCAGACGAATGTACGAAAGCGTAATGCAGCTTTAGTTGAGGGAATTTAATATCGATTAATTAATATCGATTCAAAAAAAGATAAACAGAAGAGGTGCAAAGGACGGCGATGACCGCAGCTGTCTGTTAGCTCGTAAATAAATTAATTTTAATGTCAGATATTTTATCACTATGTATACATTAGTCATCACAAAATAACAACTTGTTAATAAATATAATCAGCAGAACAGAAAGAAATATCAGAGGATTGGACATATTATTATACAGACATAGATTTAACTCACACCTGGGCACTCTCAACACGA